GATGACACAAAGAAATGGAAAAACATCCCATGCTCATGTACAGGAATAACAAAGATTGTTAAAATGTCTGTACTACCCAAGCAATCTACACATTTAGTGCAATCCCTATCAAAATACTAACAGCATTTTTCACAGAGTTAGAACAAACAATCCTAAAATGTCTACGGAACCACAAAAGATCCTGAATAGCCAAAGCAATACTGACAAAGAAAAGGAAAGCTGGAAGCATCACAATTCTGGACTTCTATATTACAAAGCTGTAGTGATCAAGACAGTATGGTACTGGCACAAAAACACACATATACCAATGGAACAGAATAGAAAACCCAGCAATAAACCCACAACTATATGATCAACTAATCTTGACAAAGCAGGAGAGAATATCCAATGGAAAAAGGACAGTCTCTTCAACAAATGGTGCAGGGAAAACTGGACAGCAACATGTAAAAGGATGAAACTGAACCACTTTATTATACCATACACAAAAATAAATTCAAAATGTATTAAAGACCTAAATGTGAGACAAGAAACCATCAAAATCCTAGAGGAGGACAAAGGTAGTAACCTCTTTGACATGGCCAGAGCAACTTCTTAGTAGATATGTCTCCTGAGGCAAGGGAAACAAAAGCATAAAAGGAACTATTGGGATTTCATCAAGATAAAAAGCTTCTGCACAGCAAAGGAAACAGTAGACAAAACTAAAGGCAGAATGGGAGAAGATATTTGAAATGACATGTCTGATAAAGGGTTAGTATCCAAAATATATAAAGAACTTATAAAACTCAACACTCAACAACCAAAAAACAAATAATCCAATTTAAAAATGGTTAGAAGACATGAATAGACATTCTTCCAAAGAAGACCTATGGATGACTAATAGACACATGAAAAGATGCTCAACATCACTCATCATCAGGGAAATGCAAATCAAACTTACAATGATATATCATCTCACACATGTCAGAATGGCTAAAATGAACAACACATGTTGGTGAGGATGTGGAGAAAGGGGAACCCTCTTGCACTGTTGGTGGGAATGCAAACTGGTACAGCCACTCTGGAGAACAGTATGGAGGTTCCTCAAAAAGTTAAAAATAGAACTACCCTATGATCCACAATTGCACTACTAGATATTTACCCAAAGGATACAAAAACACAGATTTGAAGGGGTACATGCATCCTGATGTTTATAGAAGCATTATCAACAATAGTCAAACTATGGAGAGAGCCCAAAGGTCCAATGACTGATGAATGGATAAAGAAGATATGGTACATACATACAATGTAATATTACTCAGCCATCAAAAAGAATGAAATCTTGCCATTTGCAATGATGTGGATGGAGCCAGATTGTATTACACTAAGTAAAATAAGTCAGTCAGAGAAAGACAAATACCACATGATTTCACTCATGTGTGGAATTTAAGAAATGAAACAGATGAACATAGGGGGGAAAAGAGAGAGAGGCAAACTATAAGACAGACTCTTAACTATAAAGAACAAACTGAGGGTTGTTGAGGGAGGTGGTGGGGGGGATGGGTTAAATGGGTGATGGGTATTAAGGAGGGCACTTGTGTTGAGCATAGGTTGTTATACATAAGTGATGAATCACTAAATTCTACTCCTGAAACTAATATTACACTACATGTTAACTAACTGGAATTTAACTAAAAACTTGAAACTTAAAAAAAAAAAAGAATTATTTCTCTGGAGCATTGTCATTTATAGGGATTAAAATGTTAATGATGAAACAGGGACGAGTAGTTTTTCTTTAGACATTTTGAGGAGCAGGTTCTTTTGGTGACTGCTCTGATGTCATTTTTCTGACCTCCTGGAGGCTTAGCACAGAGCAGGAGGTGTAGAATCTTTCTGTGATTGGGAGAACCAGAGCACCAGCCCATGTCCCACCAGGAGAGATACCCCATCCTTACCAAGGGGCATCAAAAGAACCCTTGAAAGTCGAAGCATCAAAGGATCTCAGGGCTGGGAGCAGTCTGAGAACTTCTGAAAGCTGGATTTTTCTAACCCTTTAACTTACCTGTGTTATCTAACTTACAGCACCATCCTTCCCTAAATCTACCAGGAGAGATTTCCACAGGGAATCTAGGGAAATCCAGAACCTTGCCTCTTCAGTCTTCCCACAGTTGCTGGGCAATGCCTGAAATCTGACCACAGAGTCTTAATCTTTCTGCTGAAAGCTACACTGTAGGCTCTTTGGCGATGTGGGAAGAACCCCAGGGAACATGTATCCTGGAGGTTAGGCATGCCCTGGGATAGTCATTCACGTTTGTAAGGATTAGGTTAGACCACTGGTATGTAAAAAGCCTGCCACCGTGTTGGGCACGCATTAGATGGAGAGATGACACACTGGAGTAGGAGTCAGAATGTTGTGTTCTAACCCTGCTCTGCCACAGTGGCCCTGACTGAGCATGTCACCTCACTTTTTTAATCTCTGTCATGGGGATGTTGGCTATATGTTCTCTAGACCAGTGCTTCTAGAACTTTAGAGTACAAATGGATTACCTGGGGATCTTATTAAAATACAGATTCTGTGAGTAGATATGGTGGGGTGAAAGTAGGTCTGCATTTCTAACAAGCTGCCAGATGCTGGTGATGCTGCTGGTCTATGGACAACACATAGAGAAGCAAGAACTAGGATACCCTCTATCTTAAACTTTCTCTAAGGCATACATTAATGTGAAAGAAAAATCTAGCTTTTGATATTGAGGCTAGGACAGAGGCGGAGGGAGAGAGAAGAAGAAGGAGGAGGGGAAGGGGGAGGGAAAGAGAGGGATATACAGAGAGGGGTGGGAGGTTTGAAGGGAGTTTGCCTGGGTAGGAGCACATGGTTCCCCTGGGAGGCTACCAGAAACAAAACTTGCCTGTCTTGAATTTGTGCTTTGGGATGAGTGTGTTTATGAGTCTACCATGAAGCTCAGAACATTTTCATTTGTGTTGCTTTAAGCATTGGAAAAAGAAATATCTCACTATTCCATTTGATTTGATGAATGTGGAAGCTTTCTCTCCTAAGTTTGAAAGATGTCAAAAGATAATTTTGTAAAAGCAGCAACAAAAATAATAAGTATGTTACCCTGTCAAAGGAGCGCCACTTTGTAGCTAGGTCTTATTTCTTGTTTCTTTGTGAACCAATTTGTTAGACTTAAGAAACCCATGCTGATGAATAGTAAAATTTCATATCACCCAGGGGCAGCCATAAAGATAATGGACTGTTGTTGCCATGGGGAGAAAAACAGTGGTTTGTTTCATCCAGGAAAGCAAGAATGAAAAAGGCAAACCTAATCAAGAATAAAGAATAAAATACAGAGTTAAAAATTTGGTTGCAGCAATAAATAGTCTATTTTATAAATACCTGCAATGAATCCTATTTGTGAATATCATGAAGAATTAGAAGTTAAAGCAGTTGTGCTCATATTCAATGTGATGCACATGCTATATATTTCACTTCCATTCATGAACAAATAACATGAAATTTACCAGTATCATTATCTGATCAATGTGTGGCCACATTCAAAATGAATAATTTACACATTATTGTCTTTTCTTTGCATTTCCAATGGCCTCTTTGCCTCCTGTATCCATCAATAAGCATTTATTCAGAAACTGCTATGCAGAGGTGCTATGCTAGGACCTCAGAATAATAATATAGTGTGCTTGATTTTCAATGATTAGAGTTCTCCTTTTGACTGTGATCCAGTACTTGTCATTTCTCTGTAGGTGTGGCTTCTGTCAGAAAGCAAATGTCTCTTCCATATAAAATCAGACATATGAAGAACATAAGGCTTGATATTTTTGAGACTGTTAGTTATGCCTCCAAAACCCAGCAAAAACGCCCCAGACTAACTCAACCTTTGTACATTTTACAGATGTAGATACTCAAGTACTTTGTAGGATGTTGGTATCAAGAAAGGGGTTCTCTGCTGCCATAATTTGCAATACATCACAGGCTAGAATGGAACCAGCACATTCTAGTTAATGGGCTTAAAATAGAGCAGGTTGACCATACTTTTTGGAATGGAAACAAATATCGTATGTGATGAAGGTGGACCTCAGCAAACCCCCTCACTTTCACATGTAAGATGAATTGAGTTTAGAAGAAAAGAGAAAAAAAAAAAGATGAATTGAGTTTAGGCTTCAGCTAGCTAAGATATTTTGCATTATTCAGAGCAACCTGGGGGGATTTAATAGTATCTACTAAAGATTCTTTTTTGTTTTGTTTTGTTTTCATTTAAAGAAGAAGCCATGGCGACTTTTTCATCTATAGTAAGTGAATGACAAGGATAGCCACTGATGGCTGTGGTGTGACTGAACTCCATAATGATTTCCGAGAAGGCCACAAGAATCCTGTTATGCTGTCTTGGGGTGAAAACTGCACTGTAACTCTGCTGGAAACCACAGTAATTGTGTTGTAAATCCTGTTAACACCCCTGCATTATATCTTGGTAACCACTGTTAATTTGTAACTCCTCTGCACTTGGGTGTGCCTCCAGGTTTCCAAACCTCAGAACTTTTTGCTGGATCAGCAATAAACAACTTAAACTTAACAAGAAGGGAGAAAGGATCTGGATTGTAATGCTGCTTTTGAAAAGTGAAATCTTAAGTGATAAATCAACTTGCTCAGATTCCTGACGTTGCAGTCATTCTGTGCTTCTTACTCATAATATAACATTAAAATTCAATATTGGGCTTTGGCAAAAATAAAACAAAGAGGTAATACCCAGATGCCAAGGCCTTCTGGTGACTTGTTAAATGCCTTAATCGTTCTATGTTGCACAGGACATTATTTTAAACATAAGAAGAGATATCTACCATAGTTTTGAATGTTTACTATTCACCACTCTCAGATTAGTTGACTTATTTATATAACCCTTGTGACTAAATGAGAGATTCTGGAAATTTGGGGCTAACAAAAATGTATGGATAAGTGAAAGGGAAGGGATAAAAGGAATGAGAGGCTAAACAGGTTCCATCTCTTTCCTTACCTCTCAATCTATAATAAGCTTGAAGACTGGCTAAAATCTGTTTCATGGATTCCTGTGGACAGACTTTAACACCAGTTGGGAAAAATGTTGACCTTTTTGTTCGACGCTTGGCCACATCGAATATTCGTTTCATGGTTGACACTTTGTACATTTTTGCAGTACTTTCAGATGTTTCGATTCTTGGGGCATTGTCTAAGTCTTTAGATTCAGAATGGTATATTTTAATGGAGAGATCTGTAAAAGAAAGATTGATTTCCTGGTGAATATATACATTGATATATGTGAAATATATGATAAATGAATGGAATAAACTAAAAGTTATAATCCTCTGATTTATTCAAGTTCTACTTTGGTGCAACTGCCAAATTTCAGTGATGAGGCATTTTCAGAAATAAGGGAATAGCATAATGAGCTGATCAAGTGTATTTTTTTTTTTTTAAAAACCAACATCTCAAATCATCTTGCCTTTAGGAACTGCCAAATATTGAAACCATTTTCCACACATCTCTAAAAATCACTCCCCACTTAGCACTCAAGCCTCCCGAGAGATGCCTCTTTTGATAGACATTATAATTCAAGTGGGGAATGATAGCACATTGTGGTACCCAGAGGTGCACTCTGGATGAGGTAGTGGAGTGTTTCTAGAAACCCAGGGGGGAAATGCAACAAAACAACCTTCCTGCCTATTAGTGGCAGCCCTAGGATTTCTGTATGGCGGGGCTCAGAGGGTGACACAGTGAAAGTGAGTTGGGGCAAGAACATGTGTTAGAGTTGACTTTACAAAGCAAGTAGGATATTTTATGGAGGGAGGTGAGAGGAAAAATGAAGGGGAGTATGAAGAGATCAGGTTGGCAGAGGATTTCACTCCTTGAGCCATTTCATCCTGCTGGCACTGCTGTATCTGTTAGGGTTAGGTCTAGACTTCATTTTTAACTCTCTGGACCTTTCATAACAATAACTTACATCATTGAACATTTCTTTACTTTGAATTTTTTCATGTGTGTTATATTATTTCACAAAAACTCTGCTATATTCATGAAACAGATATTTTTCTCGGTTTACCACATGGTAGGGTACTGAAATTTGGAGGTGTCAGAGCCTGTTAACAGTGGTCAGATCTTGATTCCTCCTCTCCCACTCCACCTCTTTCCTTTTGTCTGTCTTCCATTTAAGAAAACAACAACTGATGAACAGTTGGGACCACTCACTATGGCCCCTTGAGACCCTAAGCATGTGGCTTACTGAGACTTATATTCCCACTTTACTAAAGAAGGGCCTCAAACTCTAATCTTCTGGCACAGACAAGGGAATCAAGCAGAAATCTAAGTAGGGTAGCTGTGGAGCAACTCCAATCTTGCCACAAAGCATAAAAGTCCCTCCTTCATTACAGGGGGTGGACCGAGTCCTATAGGAATACCTGTTCTCTGGCATTTTGAGGAGTCTTAGAATACTCTGTCAGTCTTGGACAGTGATAAATTCTTAGGACTCTCCAGGAAGAAAGGGAGCATATGGATTAATTTGCCCATCCAGCTACACATCAATAAATCATAATCTCTGAATGGAATGCAGCATCAGCAACTTTTGAAGGTCCCTAGGTGATTCCAATATGCATGCAGGCTTGGGAAACCACTGTTTTATGGATCTGTAAGGGCACTTCAGGTGAAGAGTAAAGACAACCCATCTCAAAATGGCCTAAACAAAAAGGAAGTTATCACATGGAAAGGAAAGCTAACAGTAAGGAATGCCTGGTGAAAACAGAACTCTAACTCTGCCTTCCTGCCATTCTCTCATTTTCTTTTTCAGTCCCCTCATGTGGTGACTTTATCTGTAGGCTGGCTTCCACCAAATTAAACTTGCTTGCCCTTGTTCATTTTGAAAAATAACCTTTCCCTAAAGTATGGCTGACTTACATCATGTGTCTGGACCAATACCAGTTGCTAAGGAATACACCAATGCTGCTGGTTTGAGTTGAATGATTACAGAGCAGGGGACTAGAATTACCCTGAGTGGTTCATTCTAACTGTGGAGGTGGTCAGTTTTCCCTGAGTTAGGCTGGCTGCATGGCAGACTGAAAGGTGCGCACTGAACAATGGCAAGTGCAAGAAGGGGATAGGAGCTGAGTGTACAGCCATTAGTGCCCACTGCAGCTAGTAAAATGGGAATTTTAGTTTAGGAATGTTAATTTTTTTTTT